TTGAATTGAAAACGTTTCCTGGATGAGAAGCAAAACATCTTAAAACTTGGAAACAAAGTCCAGTGGATTGTTTTTTATTTATTTATTTTTTTACTTTTTTGGAATGACTATGACCTGGATGGTTGAGAATCTTCACCAGCATATCAGAGATAAATGGAGAAAACTTTTATTATTTGTAGCTCTCACCTTTTTATCTATATAGTTTCCATGAACAGCTATTGGTAAATAACAGTGTCTATAATGAAGCATGGAGTATGTTTTATTTCAAACATGGACTCCTCTAGTTTGATGCACATTAGAGTTCCATTGTGCTTTGATACTGACCCAAATGGGATCAAAGTTGCAGGGGTAAAAATAAATGAAAAAAGAACACCCTAATTTATCACCTTATATTGTTAATTTTTTAAGTAGCTTAGGAGAGTGGCCTGATATCCTATTTAATTTCTCTAAGTAAGCACAGTGTTACTTTAAATCCTGTTAATATTTGGAAGTTGGTCTGAACCAGGGGGCACCAACAATTCCAAGGCTGTGGGCTACTTCATGGCTATCGAATCATAGGAAGGCCTACCAATACTGACCTACAAACAAGAGGGGTCAGCGTTCACCTAAACTTCATCCAAATTAAACACATTTTTATTGTTAACTTTTAATTTCTAATTTTCCTTTAAACATTATAATTTTAAAATCTCTATAAATGCTAAAATGCCCTATATGATTACTATGATGAAATGCTCTATAAATGATTAAAAAGAAGAGTCACAGAATAAAATAAAATTTCAAACTTAGCCCACTGCTGAGTTGCTGTTTTCAGAAGGCGTTGAGGGCTCCCCATGTGGTCCTTGAGGGCCCCTTGGTGCCCGCGGGCACCGCGTTGGCGACCCCTGGTCTGAACCATTTTCAAAATAAAAAATTGCAAATAGTAAATTGCATGTGTTCACTTGATTCCCATTGAGGCTAGGGTTAAATATTCTACATTATGAGCTTAGAACTGCCTTGATATGGGCATTAGGCATGCTATTAAACCGCAAGTAATCACAGTTAACTATAGAGCTTCTCCGGTTAATTGCAAATAAGAAAATAAAAATTATATATATATACATAAAAAACTTTTTTTTTAATCGGATAAAACATCAAATTTACTTTTTAAATGTATTTCTGGCTTGCATTTTTTTCCATTTCTATTTACAAAAAATGCTCCTAGCTTGTAACAATAATCGGACAAAATAGACTCCATAGACCTACTGTAGTAAATTACAAATTTTCAAGTTTATGTCACAAATTTTCGAGTTGTCACGCAGAAGAAGGGATTACTCAGATTGTGAGGGTAAAATCTTCTCTCACACTTCACAACCAGAATGCGCTCTAAAATCCAGACATACTTGATATTATGGTTCAAGTGTGAAGCAAAAACTAGCACCGAATTTCTAAACTGCAGCATAAAATATCTCAGTGGCAGCCACATTGTTTAGAAGGGAGGGAGTGATTTTCCTTAACATGATCAGAGACGCTTAGTTAAGTGAAATTGAAGATTTATGTTTGTAAAACAGGGAAGTTACTTAAGAATAGCTGTAAGACTGAGACAGTTGCAGAGGTTCAGCTTCCAGCAGGACATCATACGTCCAGAACTACAAAAGGATCAATGCATGGTTATAAGACAAAAAAAACAACTCTATTTTTATGAGGAATGATATCTGTAAGTAAGAACGTTTACACAGATGTCTAAATGTAAGATATTGTTTTTGGTTGTCAACACACACAAAAATACATGTGACATTAGATGTTTTATCTGTGAGAATACAAGTGTAGAGAAGGTGAATACACTTTATAAAGATTTCTGGCTAGAAATCACACATTTTTCAAGCACAAAACCCACATTTAAGAGTATAATTTAGAAATTTAAGGTTAATACTTATACATTTTAAAGTACAAATCCCGAATTTACGGGTAAAAACCATAAGTTTAAATACCAATCAGACATTTTTCAGTAAGAAACAGAAAGTTTTGGTCACTAATCACAAAATTTAGGGACAGATCCCAACTTTACAGTATGAGTAACATATTATCTAGTAAGAATCACATATTTTATTTACGCATTACAAAGTTTTAAGTAAAAAAAAAAAAAAAGGAAAGAGTATAAATCACAATTTTTCTAGCACCAATTGCAACAGGTCACTCTTTTGATTCATACTCAGATAATTTTGATTTGTACTCGAATAATTTACAAATTGTTACTTCCAGACTAGTATTCTCACAGATGAAACATCTAATGTGCCATTTATATATAAGTTAACAACAAGGAACAAATTCAACTCTTAATTTGACACGTTTATTGACTTACATTCATAAATTCAACTCTTAATTTGACACGTTTATTGACTTACATTCATAAATTCAGGCTCCTATAAAAACGATCTTCATGACAGTTATCTTAGTCCATTTATTTCCAAATAATAGTTGAAAATCGATGTTCGAATTTGACTAAAATTGCAGATTTCCATAAAAACACGTGCAGCTCTAACTGGAACAAAAGGTGGTTCTACATTCTAATAGACTAATAAGACTAATAAGTCTTGGGGAAGGAATATGATACACTTCAAAAGTTTAAATCCCAAAATAAATGATAAAAAAAAAACCCAACAAAACAGAAAGAACATTTGTATTATTTTCCTTTTCATTCACAAGTATGCAAAACTGTTTTGTTAATCTACTACTAATAAGAGTTTTTGAGTATAGTAGGAATGAATACAAGAAAGTCCAAAGGGTGTGAATACTTTCTCAAGGCTAATGTACTTTACATGCCTCTTTCTCTGAAATGGCAGCTTTCTTATCTTTGTCAGGTTAAAAGGGGGAGAATGAATGCAAAGAAATGAGGTTAGCTTTCCTTCTAATCAGGTTAGTGGGCAGGGGAAAGGAGGGACAGGTTGAGAGAGAGACCAGCTGTTGGTCCAGGAAAGAAGACGGTACAGTAAGGTGAGACTGTGAGAGGAACTTGGCAAACCATTTAAAGCAAAATAGAATGAATAATAATATTCCATACCTATAAATTCATTTTTGAGAAGCTCTGCCAGCACAGAAAGTTGTCGTGGTAAAAAGAAAGAGACACATGGTCAGGTGTAAAGTCTACTTTAAAGCAGATACAAAGATTTTCTCGAGCCGCCAGCTGTTGGGACTGACGTTTGTACCGTATTAGTAACGGACAGACAACGCAGACAGCTTCGGCCCATTTGACCCCCCGCCCCACCCCCACCCCAGGAAAAAAATGATGTTGGGGGGGAGGGGGAGGGGGGGTAGAAAGCAAACAGAAATGAGAAGCAAAGGGAGGAAAATGAACCAAAGGCTGAAGGAAAGACGACAGCAGCAAGCGGGAAGAGGGCATGCAGACACAGAGGAAAAAAGACGGAAAAAACGACAGCAAGACAAGAAGCCACATCACTTACTGCTATATTTAATAGACCTCATTTCTGGAGTAAACGACATTGGACAGGATTACAAAACAAATGAAAAAAAAAAAAGAAGACGGAAAGGAAGAACAAGAAAACAAAAGATAAAAAGCAGTGAGTTATTCTCCAACATAAAAACACACTACAGTTAATGAGGCTGACACAGCAAATGGGGGTGAGTGCTGTGACTCGTTTGACTAATGGCAGTTGTGTTGCCTTCGTATTGATTACAGCATACCTCTCGTATAGCTCTTTGGTCCCGCTACTGCTGCTTACAGCTATTATAACCCTCCAGATAATTTACAGGGAAATCATCCCAGCATTCCCAATTTTCACGGCACCGAATGCATTACTGGCCTTAATTAGAGAGAGAAAAATTCAGCCAATCTAATGGCCGGCCTGCCTAAACTGAGAGTGAATCTCCTCCAACACAGTGAAAATAAAAAAGCACATGGTCGCACGGACAGACTTTTAAGATGTAGACACGGCTTGGTGACTGGATGCGAAATACAGGTTCCATCAAATCTGACATTTTATTATGTAAAACTAGTTAAAAATCATTGCTCTAGTTTCAGTTTAAAAGCTTTTCCATAACATCAAACCAAGGCAGTATGGCGTGGAGCTTCTGGAAACACAGTTTTATGCCTGGGATTGTTTGGACAGCAATGTCAAAGTGGCCAGAATTTATAACGATTAAACCATGTGATTTCAGTCGACACCTGATGTGTTTCAACATCGCTGTCCATGCAATGGCAAGAGAGCAACAAAGCACACCCCATTTGCATCGCTGGTTTTTAAAGGAGTAGTCCAACATTTTAGGAAATCCATATTTTCACATCCCACTCTAGAGTCCATAATAGGCTGCGTGAAGCTGAAACAGGATGAGCTGATGCACTGAACTAGTTGTCCTTCCTTGGAAGCGATGATGAAGTGTCTAAACGTCATTTTGTGTCCCATTAAGTATCACTCATCTAGAACAACCATGTCGTGCAGTGAGTGTATGTGTTTTGGGATAAAGGGTAAATATATTTAGGAAATCTGTCTTACTTTTACCGCTACATGAAGCATTCAGTAAGCTGAGATCAGTTAATCTTCGTTGCTGCAGACTGAGCGTCTGCATGGCACAGAAACAGGTCAGGTGACGTCGTTCTCGGGTCATTGTCACAACATTTGAGCCAGATAACATGTACTTTTTTTTCAGGGACTGAAACTCATTGAATTTGATTAGTTAGTCAGAAACATTTCAAAACATAACAAAAAATTATTATATACATACTAAAATACCAAGCGGGAACCTTTGTATTCTCTGCTTCTTGTAAACACGTAAGATTGACGCAAAAGCGAGGTCACAGGTGTCCACTAGGGATATATTAAGCTTAAAGCCATGGTCGTTTCTCAATATTTGTACTTGTACGTTCTCACTGGAAACGTCATCAGCCTCAGCCCTAGTACTGTTCCAATGGGCTCTATGCACAGCTCCACTACTTCCTGAATTTAAGGCAGCTCCTTTGTTTCCTGTCTTTCATTACTGGACGAACTGATTAATCCAGGTGTGTCTGGCCAGTTACTTAGGTCATACACACCTGGATTAATCAGTGCATCCAATCATGAAAGACAGGAAACAAAGGAGCTGCATTAAATTCAGGAAGTAGTGGAGCTGTGCATAGAGCCTATTCACAAGAACAAGAAGACCGAGAACAGACAAAATCCCCGGATGTTGTTCTCGCCCCTCCCTATTTAGTGAATATGCATCAGAGCAGACTTGTACGTTCTTGAGATTGACAGCTGTCCCAGCATGCACTGCGGCAGCAGCAGCTTCCAGGGGAGCGCTCACAGAGCTCAGAGTATTAAGGTAAAAGTTGTTCAATAAAAGTATGTTTTAAGATAATTTGAGATGAGAATATCATACTTTAATGTGTCAATATATGGTCAATTTACTGATTTAGTGCGTAATAAAAAAAAAGGCCAAAAGTTGAAAGGACCTCAGCATAGCTGTGTGTGGAGGACCTCTGGCTCTGATGGCGATATTTTTGTTTTATTTGGCAAAATGATAATTTGATTTGTGTTTATCTGACTGTGTTAATTATTATTCCCCCAATAAATGAAAAAAGTAATAAATGTATTATTATCCAGAGCGTGTGGTGACATCACGAGTCCACACTTTCCTGTGTTCCTCTCAAGAACATACTTGGCGAGGACACAAGTCCATACTCGCGTTCAAGTGAATTGAGAAGCAGCGCATGGCTGTTTCCTAATGTCTGCCCTAACCCCTAAATCCCTCAATCACTATATAAGGGTTATAGGACTGTTCACACTTCTGTAGAAGTAGTTTTTCTACAAAGTTGCATAAATTATCAGGGGTTTCTAAAAGAAGCTAAAATATTATAATTTGGTTGAATAACCTAAATTGAGGGTTAAAAATATAAATATATGTATATGTGCTCGTATAATTATTCATTCAATAACTGAGGAGCAAAAATGTTTGTTTTTTTATTGATAATTTGGTTAATGTGGTGGATATGGCTTTTGCTTGATATGCGACCAATTAATTACAGACCCTGTAGTTAACTTGATTTAAAAAATGTTGTTGTGTCCCAGCACTAGTTAATTTTAAAAAGTGGATTCTTAATTACATCTAAATGTAAGTCTGGCTGCCATCTGTTGGTTCCACTCCAAGCATATGCATGCTGAGGTGAGTGTGCACAGAGCAACTGTTTACCTTTAGCACTGGGTTTTCCCAAAGTGGGGGTCAGGAAATGGTTTTCTCTATCGATGTGATGTGATTGATTTGAAATAAGTAATACGAAAATTTAAATGATCATTTCATTTACTTAACAAATACATGATTCAATCATTAAATATTACATTAAACTATGAAATGCATGATCATATAATTCAATATAATTGAGAAATAAGTGAATTCTAACAAATAAATATAATTACATTATGTTGTATCTAAAGATAAATACAAACTGAAATATATATATATGTGACTTTGTGCCCCACTTGAATATTGCAATAAAAATAAACTGAAATCTCATTAAAAAAAATAAGTTATTAAACTAGGCGGTTAGGTGTAAGTATTTTAAGCTTTTTTTTTTTTTTTACTGTTTGACAAATTTCAGCATCGCCATCAGTACATTTTGAAAAATGCATAAAAATTGGGTCATTTGTTCTAATTATTAAATTTTTCTAAGGTCCATATTTGTGTTACCATTTTTTCTATAATCTTTTTGCTGCTGTAAACACAAGAATTTAAATTAATGAGTCCAATCTCTAAAAGTGGAACAGAAGTGATTTTATTTTCCAAGTATTTCTTTTTTTTTTTTCTTTGTCTTCCAGATGAAATTGGGCTTTCGGGCTTTAGTGTTAAATGTAAAGGAAAGTGATCTAGAGCTTTGTTAGTGATATGCAATTCTGCCAATAGGTTATAAGCCAGTTGTCACTTTAAGGATTTCCCAAAATGTGAAAACTACTCATTTAAATGAATGTCACTGTAATTATATGCCCAAAATGAAAACTCCTAAAGACATTACAAGTCGAATTTAAAGAAATGTACTAGCAGCATTAAAGGACATGCTGTAAGGAGAGAATCTATAAGATGATCCATGGATGCTTGGATGGTATTTATGATCAGGATAGCTTTTCCTTTAACAAATTTCCAGCACCTCAACCTACATGAAGATCAGTGCCACAGCGGGGGTGGATACTAGTAGAATGAGTGATGCTTTAGAGGTCTCCTAAGCTGAAGACCTGTGGACGTACTTGTCAGTAGAATTGGATTTGGGGCGTTCTCTTTTTTTTCACTTTACTAAATGAATACAAATCTCTTTCAAAACCTTTTCTCTGAGATAAACCACTCATAAAAACACTGAAAAGATTAAAATCCATCACTATGGTACTTATAAAGCCAAATGTAAACACAGTAAAGTAGTTTTGCTCAGACAGATTGAAGTTCTTCAAATGAATAAGCACCAATGGACCATCTACATAGACATAGTAAAACACTTCAGTAAAAGCAAAGTAACTTTAGCTTTTATGTCAGCTCTCTGTTGGCTCTTTTTCATGTATAGTAAGCCTCCCAGTCAGCCTGTAAATGAATACTATGCACAATTTACAAGCAGACAAAAAAACAACAACATTTCTGTAAAAAATGAAACTGATCAATTCCCATAACAGTTTAGGCTCAAGTATCCAACATATAGCAAATGCAACTTCAAGCATGCGAGCGGGCATGAAACATAAACTTATATTCTAGCATTTCACTGGTTGTTTCAGATTTTCAGAGAACTCAAAGGGGGACCAGGTGGGTTGGATACAAAGTCATGCAAAGACACCCTTACACAGGAAACAGAGAAGCAGCTTAGTAAACACACACTCTATCCAACCCCTCCAACGTTACATGCAGCATCTCAGTGAGAAGGAGACAAACAAGAGCAAATGGACGTACTGTAGAAACCGGCCATGACGGAGTTTTGACAGCGGTCCCCCGAATAGTCATTGGGACACCTGATGGAGGGAAAACAGGACACAGAGGAAGGAGAGTGGGATGGGGAGGGGTTAGAGACACAGACAGAAGAGAGGCAATAAAACAGGAAGGAAAGGAGGAGGAATGGAGAGAGGAGAGGAGAAAAGGAGGGGAGAGGGTGGGAGACAAAATAGAGCAGAGATGAGGGATTAGAAAAAGCACAATCCACCAAGTACAGAGAAAGAAGAGATGACCTGCGTACTGTGACATTGCTGACATCAATATGACATCACTGCGATGGCTCAGACATCCGCACTTGGGGGGGTCATGATGATGGCGCATGATGTTGGGTGGGTCAAACGTACAGTCGGTAACCTCTGAATTTAATCGCACACAAACAGGTGAACACAGGCAGGGCCACACACCCCCACACACATGCACACTCACCCCCACAAATGATATAATACAGCATGGCGCCTGTATTAGAAAAACCTCCACTGGTCATACATGTGTGTATGACCATATCTGTAAAATGTATAACTGATAACTACTTGGCATTTATAAGTTTGCATTCTCTGTGCAACATATTTTTTATTTCTAGGACAGTACGAATGTTAATGCAAAAACCGCTTTGTTAAAACATGCTTTTATAAGCTCTAAGTTTGACACAGAGACTGCTTTTTTACATATCTTAAAAAGTCCTAAGTGTGGAGTAAATTTGAAATATTTACTTTTTATCTCAGATGGTAAAGCTCCAAATTCTGGTCAAAAAGCCACCGGTTCTTGCAAGCTCTTGATTTATTCCATCAACTTCTGAAAACTTGCTGTATTAATCATAAACAATGACTTTTGCTCAACCTTTACCTTTAGAAGTAACACATCCCCAAATCATCAGCTCCATGTTTTACATTTGAAGCCTGTTCTTAAAGCCATCTTGACTCCTTTTCCACAGTTAGTGTCGATGGTTATGGACATAAAGTTCAATCTTGGTCTCCTCTCTCTATGTTACACTCCAGAAATCCAATACTCATTCTTGTCCTGTTTGGTGTGATGTAAGCGAGCTGCTTAGTGGCACTGATGTAGTAAAAGCTTCTTTCTGGCAACTTGCCTATGCAGCGTTTTTTCCCCCACCAATGCTTCCTTACTGTGCATATTAAAACTGCCACAATAATTTGTTTGAGAGCTGTAGTTATTTGTAGGTTTTCTTTCCCTCCCAAACTTTCCTGGCAGTTGTGGCTGGAATGTTGTGCTGGTCTCAATGACTCTGGCTTGGTTTCAGAATAATCCCTCATTTTCTACGTCTTGATTAGTATTTAAACTCAGTCCATTGGACATTATTCAATATTTATTTCCTGTTTTACTAAGTTCTTATAAGCTACCTAGTGCTGTAGTTCCTTTGAGTCTTATTTTGCCTTTCAAGATCGGTTTATTCCAGCAGTTTGTAAAACTTTCAGGGGTCTGTCAGAAGCCCTTAAAAGCACTCGCTTTCTTAAAAAAAAACTATTATTAAAGATTAACAGATCACAATGAAGGTGCAAACCTATACGAGCCATTTAAACATAGGTGTACCACCTTTCTTAGTGTTTTGTGGTTATTGTTTAAATCACTGCTGTTGTTATTAGGGTTTTTAAAAACAATATGCAAGGCTGCTTGATTAAAAAAGACTTCAGTCAACATAATAAGTAAAATAAAGGTAGCACTGCAAGGTAGCACTGGAGCTAGCTTATCTTACAGATGATGATGTTGATCAATACTTTCATTGTGCATCGATATAAATAAATCATTAATTGCTGAACTGCATATATATTTATTAATGTCTTATCATACCCCTACAGTATAACCTAGTTGTTTGGTGGACAGAAAAGCTCCTGCAATGGAAGCATGCATGTGTACCAGCTTACTGTGTTTAAACAGTAAGAAACAGGGTGAGCACCCATACTTTTCCAGAGTATACTACAACACAGGGAAACTTGGATGACCCCACATTTAAATACTGCGATTACTTGAAAACTTCAGTGGAAGCCAATCACCAAAGAGGGAAAAAAAAAGGTATGTTATAGGAAATGTGAAGTTTATCAGATTAGAAAAGCAGCTGTTATGTTTGTTTATGTTTAAGTCTTAAAGCTACTTTATTTATAGCAGTACTGTTGTGTAAACATAGGGACCCCTATTTCATCATTCACTCTGCAGAATCTGTAAGTTCAATCTCTAAAGTTATGCTCTCTCTGCTTTTTCTCATAGTAGCTTCATCTGGTCTTTTCCTGTTTGTCTGTGACTCCATCCTGGAGAGAAATATCAGCTGTGCTGCTGCTATCAACACCTTTGTTTATAGATGTTGGAGATCGGCCTGTTTTTCAGTGTAGTCCTGTTTCTCTGACTGTGACTGGCTGGATGTGCTCTCTCCTTCCTGACATGGGAGCTGGCTCAGAGCTCGTCTGCCTGGCCGTGTGTTTATCTGGACGGGGCCGCCTT